GGGGGCTGGCCTCTGCTGCCCCGGGCTGGGGATGGCGCTGCAGAGCAAACCCCCAGAGGTCTCTTTATTTTTCCCCTCCTGGTCTGCAAGCCGGTGAGGAGGGTCCTGCAGAGTCCTGCTCCTGAGCACCGGGGTGAGCCTCAGCCCCAGCCCGGGGGAAAAACCTGCTGAAGCATCCCCCGGGGGGGCTCAGCCAGCCCCTGCCCCACACAGATCTCCTGCCACCAGGGATGGGGAGCAAAACTCCCAGCCCCACCCCTGAGGCTCCCAGAGCTTGCCTGTCCCAGGGTTGCCTCCTATGGGTGCGTTACGGGAGGGGCGGGATGAACATCCTGCACACTGCAGCTTTTTAGACGTAAGAAGGGGGAAGATGGGAGGGCTCTGCAGGAAGACACAAGCCAGGGCTGCCCAGCCCACAGCAGTAGCTAGAATAATAGGGTCTAAAGTGGTTTTTATTGTAAATATTTAATCTCATTCCTGCACTTCCCATTAGAGCCTGTATACAGAGGACGTCTCATTCACCCAGTAGTAGCAGCTGTGTATGTTGTGCCTGAGCGCCATGGTGCTGCTCAGGGTCTGCCATGAAGCCCTGCTCTGGGGTTGCCGTAGGATGCGCTCCCCAGCCGCAGCCTGACCGAGGGATGGCACTGAAGCAGGGAAGGGGGCTTCAGGGAATAAACGTTTGGAAAGTGGACATTTCTGGATATGTCTGACTGGTGGTAGAAAGTGCCCTGTTCCTGATGATGGTGTCCACCTTGCAGAGGGGGCATTTGCAAGGTGACACAGGCCCCATGGTGGCTGGCTGGCCAGACTGATTGCATCACCTCCTGCAGCCTAGCTTTGCCAGGGAAGGTGCCAGGACAGCAGCTCTGTGGGTCCATCCAGGGGGTGGTGCCTGGGTGCTGAGGGCACCTTTTTAGGTGGCCTTTGAGTACAGCCTGCCTCACTGAGACACAGGGTATTTCTCTCCTGTGTAAAATGAACTGAATCCTATTGCTTGTGCCCTGAGAACAGAGCTGGGCTCAGGTTCTTGCTCCACTGCAGTGTGTTTATACGCTCCTTCCAGCTCCACGTCTGCTCGCCACTGTCACATACCCTGTGTGGAAGCAGTGGGGGAAACCCCTCACCTGGTGCGTCCCTCCAGCACATCCCAGGCGCGATGGCACAGTGTGCTCTCTGCGAAGAGCCAGCAGGCTGGCCCGCGAGGGCAGAAAAGCGGCACGAGGCTTGAGTCCCTTGGCTCCGGGGAGCTCCCCCGTCCCCTGAATCTCAGTCACCATTCGGCTTCAATGCCGGGCTGTAGACGACCTCACCCTGGCCAGGGCCCCTTGCAGGGCGGGGCCCGCGCTGCTGTCGGAGGGCTGGGCAGCGAGCACGACGCTACCTGGGGCAGAAATGCGGCTCCCAAAAGTGACAGGTCAAATCTGGAAGAGGTTGAACTGCAGGGCTGAGTTAAGTGCTGTTGGCAGGTCGACCCCGTCGTGAACCAGAGCCTCTGCCCCTCCTGACCTCGTCCTGCAAGGTGAATCTTTCTGGCTACCGGAGGCGAAATCAGGAGGTGGTGGCTGCAGCTGGCAATGACTGACTTTAATTAGCAGGAGCTGCTGGCGTGGCCCTGGCCCCCGGGCAGCGCGGGATCCCACCGCGGGCAGGGCTGCGGCTCCGGCACCGGGTGCGGGAGGGCCGGGGCTCCTCCAGCAGCGCACTGAAAAATTACCCCGAGCGCTAACAAGCCCCGTAGCCACCCGTCGAAAAATGTAACATGAATCTAGCTTAAAAAAAAAAAAAAATTGAAACTGATTTTGTTTGCAGATAAACACGAGCATTTCCAAATGAAGTGTAATAATTGTTACTTGTAATCAAAGTTTGTTCATATTAGGCTGTTAATTTCTTGACCCCCTTCCAAGATGTTTTTAATTATCCCTTTCACTCTTTACCATTTGATTCTTCTCGAGCAGAATACACAGCTGGGGAGATAATAAAGCCTTCCTGTGGCAATTATCGGTGCTCAGGCCACCGTATCTCGTTATTTTGATAGACAGTGAACTTGGCGCGGATGCCGGCCGGGTTCACGCAGATGTCACGGTCCGTGTTGTAGGTC